GTCTCATCGCATCTAGAACCTCTCACCAAGTGGACAGGGGAAGCCGGAATAAGACATAACAAGATTCCCGAAACTCTATACTAACGCCTAACCTGAACTGAAATCATTGCCTATAGTTTGCACACTTTCGTAGACCGTGGTGCTCCCACATGTCGCACACCTGAAACTTGGTTGCAAGGATATCATGTACGGTCATGCATGTTGCATGCCCTGTTCTTGCTGCCACTATGCGGTTTGCATGTACTTTGCAGTGTCGCGCATGAGACACGTCCGGAACTCATGCCAAATAGTGGCATGCTCAGCTCTTACTCACNNCTCATGCCCATCCACCTATTCATTTGTCAGTGCCAAGTCCCTCATCTACATGTCTCAGTACTTCGCGAAGTCACCACAACATGCTTCAGAAAAGATTAAGCCTGTAGGAATGAAAATGGGTGGGAATTTGTTTGGCCGGATTTTTGGTCTGCCCCCTTGTGGCAGACGGACCGCACGTCACAGCCCGAGGACGAACTGCCTGGGATTGGGCTCGGGATGTACGTGTTGTGTTAAACCATATTCATAACATGGGGCGTAGAGTATTGGCCTTCGGGCATGGAGGCAAAGAAAAGTCCTGCTTCCTAAGCCCAACTTATGGAGGTCTTCTCAGTGTCGGGTCACAAATAAGGATGTACAAATTCGAATGTTTTAGAAATGCTGAGTCATCGTTTAGCGATTATAATATGTTATGGTATGTAGGTTATATCATATCATGCTATATTATTCTCTACTCTGTAATGTTTTATCATGACTTCTTGAAACGCATACACTGTGAGATAACATGCCTTAGTAGATTACAGTCAACTACATGAACTAACACTACATGATATTGGGCTATGTTCTGTTATGTTATGAAGTTTATTTGATATTGTGTGATTTTGTACACGTGCAGTATTCATTTGGAGTGATTCTTCAGTATTGTACGATAATATAATAAGAGGGAGAAGTACCTTATAGTGTAAAGGCAACTTAGTCTAAGATGATATGGCCAAATAGACTTTAATATATATATATAGATATATGTATTTTTATATATATATATAAATAAATATATATATATATATACACAGTTATGCTTCAGTGTTATGATATGAAACTTTTTTACGAAAATACTCTAAAAGAAACATTTCAAACATTAGTGTAACACAATACAACATGACATAATTATCCTATAGTCTATATATATATATACATACGTACATATATACACATATTTTGTGCATTTATAATGTACGCTATAATCTAATATAACAACGTATCAAAACATCGTTTTATCAAGCAGCATAGAATACAACATGATATGGTGGTATATAATATGCGCTAGGGCTTTATTGTATAATATACTATTCTGTACCATAGCAGAATACAAACAAATGTTAACATTCTTAATGTAAAATACTGACCCTAGGTAAGAGTAGTTGTTTACTAACATGCTAGCCAAGTTCTGCATATTCTTGATGTAGTATTCATATAGCAATACGAGTCTTTGTTATATAACGTTTGAATGACTTGTAACATATTTTGCAGTATTACCAAAACTGGAACTTATTATTGATGTAAGAGTTTGTTTGCAAGTCGAATCTAAGTCATGTCAACACGGTATGTTGCTTCCAACTGTATATTGCTTCGAAGCCCACTTGTACGTCAAGACTTGGGCCTCGAGCACCCCCCCTTCCCGCCGCCCCCACGCCTCCCTGCAGCCCACCCAACCCACGTCCCGCAGGCCCCAAAAAAAGCGCCAAAAATAACCCCTCCATTCGTTATTGTTGCATCCGGCCTGTGCCACTGCCTTGGGCTCCCAGTCCTCAACGAGATCTCAGCGATGAAACGACTCAGGCGGAGGATTTCCGGAGCCTCTGCGGGTCGCCTTGCCAACTCCCCGAACATGGCACCGTACACCCTTGCCGCCGACAGTGCTCCAAAATGATCCACTGCAGGGCACCCTCAGGGTCTGAGCTCTGTTCGTCGGACCGCCAGAGCGCAGCTTGGCCAAGTTGTGGCAAAGCACCTCCAAGACGCGTCTGCGATAGCGAGCTGTCCATCCTAGGTCCTGAGCCCGCGGCCCCAAGTTCGTACAACTTGTAGGCTTTCAAGTCTTCAGAAGACACCTCGCGAAGGCAAATGCTGGCAAGTGGGACCAGCCACTTCCGAGCAAGGACGCCAGGTGCAAGACAAGGTATGCTGAGGGGCACACTCGGGTGACCAAATTCTGAAATAACCGTACATTGTAGCCTCAGCTTTCACCGGAACTTCGGAGGAGCTTGAAACTGCATTCGGACCCTAGGTGCCGGGCAGGACAACCTGGAGAATGCATGAACAATGTTACTCACATTCTGCGGGCTGAGCTCGTCGGTCCTGACAGGAGCAACCTCTGCTACTGTTTCAACCCTTGTGCGTTCAATCATTGAACCTTGATGCCAGAATGTCGCCGAGCACGTGCATCCTGGCTCTTACGCTGCAGGTTTGCAGTAGCCTCGTCTCAAGTGTCGCGCCACTTCAAGCTCGCAGGATGTGCGTTTGGCTCTTGCGCACCTGAACAGAGCTCTCATGAGCTCTCCAAAACATCGCGGACCCGGTCGCCCAACTTGTGCCCTCCGCCGCAATGGGCCTGTTGTCCCTTTTTTGGCTCCACACGTGGCCATGTAACTGTACAAGATTGTAAGTTCTAGGAAGGCAAGCCTCTCGTTCGAGAGATATGGCCCGTAGAAGCCGAAAGCCATGCCCCTTTCAGGATGCCTGCATGCCCGAAGGGCTGCACGCCCTGGAAAAGAGAGCAAGCTGAGGTGTACGGTTTGGTGCACATAGCCACATAGCACAAACTCTAGCAACTAGTGCCTACACAACTACCTTCGTCTTCGGCTCATGAAGCATCGACGCCACCAAGTATCCCCGAGGAGTCGAGAAGAACTCTTTCTCCTTGGTACCCAGATGTTTAAGGCACCTTTCTAACCAGGCTCGCGTTGCTACGACCGACGCTTTCTGTTGCCGCCGAGCTGCAGTGGAGTTCATGGCCAGAAAGACATCAGTCAGGCCGGCCCAGAAAGGAGGATACTTGTACCTGTTAGCACGGTCTGCAAATCGACTTTCTGAAACTTCAAGCCCCGCGATGGTTGACTACTCTTCTCATCCGCACCTGGCGACATCCATCACGAGAACACGATCCGACTTCCGGTCATAGGCCCCGATAGGACTGTGGTGCCCGGCACCTGTGGCATTGCAAGGCCGCTCCTTCTCTGACGAGGCTCTCGTCTTGCAAGGCCTTTCTGGCCGAGCATCTTCCTGTCGAAATTCACCCCGACGAACCTCAACTACATTTTGTCGCCTATGTAGGCAGACAGGCAAGGAGGAAGGCAGGTGCATGTGTAGCGACACATTGCACGAGCTTCATGTCCTATGTCCTTGAATACGCATTCAGCGACATCTTGACTGGGCCTCCCGGCCTGAGGCTGTTGTCGGAGAAAGCCTACGGCATTGCCCGAATGGGATGAGGTCTCTGCTAAAGCTCACGCAAATCCAGGCCTCGACAAGAGTCTGGCGAAACTGTTCTAGGCTGGACCTAGACGCCTCCACCTCGGTCAGACGTCAGCAGCTTGAACGGTGGTCAAATCCCACCTCACCCGAACAGCAGAGGTTGGTCATTCATCAACAGGCAGTACAAAGCAGCACTTGCGTGACAAGAGTGTGAAGTAAGGTTCTTGCGACGGTTGCCTTTGCACCGTGGCACCGCAACATCCCACCAATCTGAGATGGCCGAGGGAGAATCTGACGTGATGCCAAACAGTGCAGCTTGTGGCCTGCTGAACGGATCCCTGCCAAGGAGATGTTTGCTCCTGGCAAGAAACCCAAGCAGCACAAAGAAAGACTTCACAGTTTGATTTTGTGTATCGCCACACCTTGATACACTGGGCTGCAGAGCCATTCCAGACGTTTTGGCTGTCCCAATACCGGTAGACCTTGCCGTCAGGTGATCGTTTCGGCTTTTGCTAAGACTCTTGGGCCCCCGAACCTGCGCGAAGCTGGCCGAATGGTAAGAGTACATCTCAGAGACCTTGAGTCGGACAGGGCTCGCCGAGCTCCAACACAGCATCCTCCCTCAGGGCCCTGCTGCAGCTGGCAGACCCTGAGCAGCCAAAGCGTTGAGAATCATGATCGCCTGGGTGTCAAATATGCTCTCATGCTACAGCTTGATATGCAAGATCGGTTTGGCACAAATCAAGCTTTGAGCTTTGTGCTGTGGTCGGTCCACACATGCCAGGCAGCTCTGTCACGAAATGAGGCGACAGTTGCCAGTATGGCCTGCGGTGTCGGAACAGGTGAGCACGACAAAGCTTCAGCAGAGACTCTCAATGAGCGCCCCATGCTCAGACCGCAGCTCTGCGTGCGAAGCTGACCTGGATGAGTGCACATGCGAGTCTTCATGCCCGTTCTACCCCCAAGGACCTGAGCAACTGCGAACCGGAGGTTGTGTTGAGGAAGATGAGATCCTCAGCCAGAACTTGCTGCTTGGCCCAACGGCGGTCTCAGAATCCGTTCGCTCCTCCTGGGGCCTGTCGCCGGTCACTTTCGAAACCTTCGAGTCGTCAGTGAGAAAACAAACAGCCAGCAGCTTGGGACCACAGTGATGCAATGGTCCACACTCCTGTCTCAGTTCTGGACAAGCATCGTTGCCAACACGAGCCACGCCATTGCTGCCATCTCTGGTCTTCAGTGTGTTTCGGGTTGTTCTTGCTCGGACAAGCAAGGTGATTCTGAGATGTTCCAACGCTGCTGTCTGCCTGGACCATACATATGCCATCTCTCCAACATGGTATTGCATGAAGCTTCAACTTCTGGACCAACTCACACATGCAGCCGGTGATCTTCGTGTGGCTTGCTATGTCCACGAGCACTGCAAGCTCTGAGGCAGATGCCAGGCACTTGGCGAAAGCATTCATGACCAGGCCTCAGGTTGCCAGTGCAGCTGACGGCATGCTTTGGCAAGGTGTTCCGTGTGTGACATGGTCCCTGGATTGCTCGGAGCCAGTGAGATGCAACCAAGCTTCGGGCTAAGGTGATGCACTTGGAAACTTCTCGGCTCTGTTTGCACCACGGACCTCCCGTGACACACGATGTAGGAACTGCGTAGTATCCTTATAGTAGTCTAACAGTAATGCTCAGTCCATCTGAGTCAAATACCTTCTGGACTCATTCTATGTCCTAGCCTATGCTGTCAAGTCAAGTGCTGCTCCTGATGCCGAGTAGTACAGTGGCTTTCTAGTGGAGAACTCGGTGCAGGTCCTTGGGCCGTGGCCTGGACAAAGCCTTGAACAAATCAGGGTTGCATTCCTGGCAGATCAAAAGATAGCACTGATAGGAGCAAAGATTGCACCCTCGGCAAAAATCAGCCTCAAGTCGAGCGTAAGAGTTGAGGATGATTGCGGAGTTGGGTCCACTGACCTGCCACTTCTCCAATAGAGCACCCCTGAGAACATGCCAGCCAAGCCGCGAATGGCCCAGCCTCGAGATAACAGTCCTGCAGCCGCGTGGCGCAAGCCTGTGTCGTTGTGAACTCTGCGTGCGCTGCGAAGTGATCGAAACCGCCGAGCCTCGAGGAGATGGTTTCGTGGTTGGTGTGCTAATTCTGCAAAGGCCTTGGCCAATGCAAGAGTGGCACGGCATGGAAGCGCCTCTAACAGCACCGAGGCTGCTGCAAAAACTAGCCTCAGTCAGGTGATGCTTTCGTGTCTAAAACCCAACCTTGCACCTATTCTGTCACTGCGTACCCAAGAAGCGTTTGTGCGCATTGGATCTCTCAAGTTGTGCTCGGACATGCTCCGACTGAACATCCGTCATAAATTCATGCCGTCCGAACAGAATTGACTCCTGTTGAGGCTGCTTTCTTCTTGATCACTTCCCCGGGAAGCGGATAAGGGCTCCAAGGGTCAATGCTCCTCGGTAGCCGCTCACACCCGACAGCTGAGAGCACGGCGATGCAATGTCAATAGGTGATAGCTGGTTGGCTTTTTCAGCTGTATGGGTCGCCACTGCCTTCCGTACGAAGCTCGGTGCCGCAATCAATTCTGCCAGGCTTTTTACAGCTAGGGTCGCGACGTCCATGAGCTGATGGTTCCGGTAACCCAGCCGAGCGAAACAGTTCAGGATGTTACCTTTTCAAAAAGAGTTTCGGCCCTAGTCAGCACTCTGGTAACACCGAGACTTTAAGTTCGGAGTGCCATGTGCTTGTATCCATCTGAGCATCAGGCACAGGCCGAAAAGTGGAAAACTGACCATGCCACGGAGGATCTTCAGTGGGGTCCGAAGTTACTCTGCCAGCTTTCGCTTTGGGTGAACCCTGGTAGGCTTGTGGCATGGGAGGCCATAGTCTCCAAAAGCAAGGTGTTCCGCTGTCTCAGCCTGGTCCATGCCGCAGCGTGCACTCTTCAGATCATGCGTATTTATCTCTCAGCCCACTACCACTTCAAACAAGTGCATTGCTGGACTTCTCGTGCTTCTTAATGGTGCATTGTAACTGTGGATCTCGTGCGCCGCTCGCGCAAGTAGTCTGATGTACTGTAGAGGAAAGACCTTATTTGGATACACACATGCTGCCGGACTGAGGAAGTCTCCCGTCGGGGCATCTTCGGGTCAGCAAATTGTGGGAGGCATCGAAGAACGTCTACGCAAGTTGTGTCGACCGCTTCTGCGGTGGGTGATCTGCATTTCCACGCAGGACAAAATCATACCCTTGGCTCACACACCAAGAGCACTAGGAAGAAGGCTTAAAACTTGAAGTTTCAAGTTGGGAACCTGTGGTGTGCAATCTGGCAATCCAAAGTGGGGCCGCGGCTTCTGCAAAGATGAAGCCAGCTGAATCACCTGGAGCCATCTGGGTTTTGACCCGGGCCTAGATTGATAGTGGCCGTGCACTTGATTTTTGCGAACGTTTCGAGGACCCTGCATCTTGGGCCCGGAAGCTGGAAGACCTCACCAGACATGCAACACACAGGTCCCCATTGATCCCAGCGGTGCGTACTGTGACAAGCTTTGAGGCAGCAGCTCAGTTTTCAAACGTCGGGCCTGATTGAAGCGTAGTGATCTTGGAAGTGACCTATGCCACCAAAATACGCTAAGACCTGGGCCAATCGATCACAAAGAGCTGCGGCATCCTGTCGGCTCGGCGCGGCAGAGCTCCACACAAGGCAGCCTGGGCCTGAACTTGTGGCCTGCTTCTTGGAGGCGTCTTTCACTGGATCCCTGCAAATTACTAGTACCAGTACAGGGCTCTTCGATTCGCTTGTCGCGGTGTCGTGTATTGCAACGACCCCTCTGCCTCGCCAGATCAGCCAACTGCCGACTGAGAGCCGCAGCCTCATCCCCACATAAAGACCGTGAAACCTCCCAGCCCATGCTTTCACAGCATCGCCTCACAACAGGTCTCGATTGCTGCATAGTGCGACCAAGGTGAGCGCCGATGTCCCGCTCTGTTTGGTGTTCGCAACTGGGCAAGCTATGGGCTGAAAAGGACATGCAGCAGCGATTCAAGTGTCGATGTGCCAGCTTCTCCAAAGGCAGCCACCAAATCGTCGGCCAACTGTTGAAGGCAATGCCCACCTTAGCGCGGAATGTTGCATTGCAATAACTTGCGCCAGCCTCCCTGAATGCTGAGGAGCGAGCGAGCTGGACGCTATCTGACAGCGCGTGCTGGGGCATGCCTAATTTATGAACGCACTTGGCGGAATTCGCAACCCACTGACAAATGGATGCGATGCCTTCAGCCTATGCGACACGAAGCTGCACGTCGGGCTCTCACAAGAAAGCTCGTCCAGCATGTCTGCGTTATTTCTGGCCTGTGAGTCTGTCCTCTTGCAGAGCATTTTGCTGCACACATGTTTCTGATGTGCGGCCGCGCTGCACCGAGGTTCCAAACAAGTCCTGAAAGCTGTGCTGATGCTTCTTGCCAACTGTTCGTCAAGCAACACTGCATCCGCACAGCATTTGCTGCAACCGCCAGAAGACAGAAATACCTTCCATGTTAATGACAAAAGTACATTCAACCCCAAGTCCTTGGTCGAGCCTCAAGAACTGATGACATGCTTTGACCCACATGGCCGAGTCTCCATATTGTTCTTCTTTCTTTAGATGCACTGTGCCCCAAAGAGAGATGTAACATGACAACGTGGAGTGAATGCCGCGGAGTTGCAAGGCGCAAGTTCGGCCTACAGTCATCAATGCTTCTGTCTCCACAAGAGCCGAGCGCAGAGTTTCATTGAAAACGCGAGCGTAATCGCATGACTGCGTGGGTTTCGGCAGATGAAGCTGTTTCGTATCGCTTTTGCTTGCAAAAGACTTGCACCCGGGAGCAGGCAGGTCTAAGGCATTTGCCTATTGCATGCCTGCTGAGGTCTATTCAGAATTCAAAGTGAAACCTGGCTGCAACAAGCTGTTGTGGAGCGGTTCCAGGCGACGAACTAAGCAACTGCTGTAGCCCCTGAAGACCTTACGGCAGAGCGGTCAAAGAATGTGCCATGTCATAGATCCAGCATGAAGCAATTTAGGCCGCAGCACAGCATCTTGCTCGAAACTTGCCAGATAACGCCAAGTTTCTTCGTCGTCCTCATCCTGCTTTGCAGCGTGCTAGTTGCAAATCCAATGGAAGTTCCCATGCTCGTCTGCCGACGTGATTGAAATACCTTCGACGACAAGAACATGCCAGCATGGCATCTGCACCTCCTTCCAAATAGCCTGGCATCATATCACGGATCGCATTCTTCCAAAAGGAAGTCTGGAACCGACGGTCAGGTAGATGGTAGATGCATGCAAGGGCAGAGAGGATTCTAGGGTCTACGAAGGGAGACCACCTTTGATGGGGGATTACGTGAGGGTTGCATCGTAAGCTGAGCTCGGTGACCGTCGTTGGGCTGGGTCATAAATGGCAGAAGAACTTCTGGGAGGGCTTCGGCGCCTTGGCAAACGTCTCACTACACTCTAGACTCGAGAGTAGTTGCGCGCTTGTGCTCAGCCTCGAACAATTTTCCATCAGATCTTCTGGACGGAAAAACATCGAAAGGGGCTTGTGGGCCTTGCCTCGCATGCGCCTTCGTTGAGAATGTCTGAAATGCACAGACTTTTCATACTCCATTCGGATGCAGTTGAAAGCTTGGGCTGCGTCCTTTCGAAAAGCATCTCCTCAATGTCCTTGAAACCCACCGGCAAGTTCGACCACAACGGCTCAATTGTGTCACTGCCGCGGCGCACCTGGTGATTGTAGAAGCAGGCCAGGTCTTCCAATGTATTGCCGTCTGCCTTGCGACCGAAGATCGGTGCTGCTGCTCTACCACTCAAATCAACATTCGTGCAGGTCGAACAGTGGCAGAGTTGCGTCACGTTGCTCCAGCGAAGCTCCTGACACAAAGCTCTGACTTGTCAAACGAAAATGTTAGAATTGGGGGACTGTCTGATGATCGGCCTAGGCCTAGGCCACGGTAAACATCACAACGCTGCCGAGGCACCTCTGTCCAGCGCGGCATGAATGGCCTTGGAGTCACCCGCCTCGACAGCCTGCCAATCTCTGATGAAGTTGAGGCTAACGAGTGTTTTGCAACGAAAGCTCTGCATGGGACACTGTCTGTCCTTGATGAGCAATTGGCCGTTTACCTCCTTCCTCAGGAGCACTTTGAGTTGTGCCAACAGCCTCTCGTTTCCGATGCCGTGCAGATCCCACACGCGTTCGCTGAAGCTTCGAATACGCCGTTCATCACTCTTGCGGCTGGCCTCAGCCAATGACCAATCGATGGCATCAATACGCGACTCCCACCTCAAAATATCCTCCATGGAGCTCCCGTAGCCCCGTGGGTCAGCCGTGCAGATTCGAAGCTTGTTGGCAGCTGTGGCCATCATGGCTTCAGTCAAAACCCAAAGCCTGGAGAAACAAGTTAGCTCTTTGTCCAATACCAGTAGCACTTCTTTGGCGCCCTGCACAAGAGCCTGCACAGTTGCAACTGGATCGTCCACCCTTCCCCCTTGCGACATCTGAGACGCCTGATGGTTCCGTGCTGGGGCACTTTCTGGAACATCTTCAGTGTTTCCTGACAAGTGCTCAGCTCCGAAGATGTCAACGCTGTATCGCCTGTCCAGATCGGACCCTGCGTCACGCACCAAGCAGTCTACGAGCTCTGGAAAGCTCGCATCCCATGCATGCACGACGTGTGTAGAGCACGGCCCTGCCATGTCTCCACCTGTGAGCGGATGTACCTCCTGCCTCTCTGCCAACTCCACAGCGCTATGCACTGATTCGCGCTCCTCCTCACGCTTAAGTCTCAGGGCTGCAGCTGTTGCCCGTGTCGTTTGTGCAGAATCCCCTGTGGGGCAGATGTCAACGAGGCACGACACCAGAAAAGCCGCGCTGACGCCAGTTGGAGGACCAGAACATCTTGAGGCTGGAAATCGCGATGACTTGGCAGAAAGGGAATTCCTAGTGCTGAAAGAGCACTCACTGAGAGTTCCCGTCTTCGTGCATGCCGATCCCGCGAGGGGTGTCAAGTCTCTTGATCTCGCAGCAACTCGATGCTGCAACTTCTTCAGCAACTTCGCTTCGCTCAAGCATGTGGCCTTGGAAGGAGAAGGAAGACGCCGCATGGCAGGAAAGTCATTCTTACATGCTCAAGCGTCGGTACTTGTTGGGGCTGAACCAAGTTCCCTGAGAGAGGATGCTGCTTCGACTGGTACTGTGCTAACCACAACTATCATTCGACAATGGCAGGTGCATGATTTGAGTTGTGCACGTGGCATCGAGCCTGCCAACCGCTGCGAAATTCCAAGCGTTGTTTGGAGCAGTCGGTACAGTCGTCTCCATGTGCTCGTGGTGGTGGTGCCATTTTTTTGCTGCAGCTCAATTTCGAACTGTCGCACTCACCCGAAACAGCAGCAATGTCTAGCCTTTCTGCTAATCGAACATGCTCAAAACTTAATTTAGGGGTGCGAGATGTTGTAAATCTACATTTTTCGCTACAAAAATGGTAGGTACAAGTTGTAGACAGACAGACAGACAGACAGACAAACATACATACATACATACTTACGTACTTACATACACACACACACACACCTGCCTACATACGTACGTACAAAACATACATACGCATACGCGCATACGTACATGTAACACAAATCCACATACACACACGCGCACACAACTCCTTAGATGATACATAATGCACAGCATACACATAGATTTACTTGCTGACTAATCGATGCATTTGTGTTTATATATATATATGTATAATTTATATATATATATATAAATATAATATGTACCTTTATCTATATACATACGCATACACGCGAATGCAGATACATGCATTGTTGAATGTTCAGGAATGCACTGTACATCGAGCATGATTGCATCTACTGAAAGAAGACTTGAATACGCATGAATGTATCTGCTAGACCATGTGCTTTCGGGAGTCTCGGGCAAAAGTACGACCAGGTGCTGCCATATTAGCAGTACCTGTGCCGTTCTGCCTGACACAGATCTTTGCACACCTTGGACAAGCCTGCGGCCACTTCGGAGCGGCAGGGTGATGGCGCAGATTAGCCGCCAAAGCTTCTGGTGCTTCTGCTGCATCCATGGGACTCGAACGTAGATCGGGGCACATGCCCGAAATACAAGTGTGGAGCTTCCTTGGGGGAAGCGGTGTGTACGAATGAAAATGACTCGATGCAACAATTTTAACTCTCTTCGCCGCAAAGCAGTCCTTGCATCGTGTGAAGCTCTTAGGGGCTGGCAACTTGTCGACGCACCCCACGATACGCCCAAACACAGTCTTTGGCTCGCACCTGAGCAGAGAGCTCCGTAGAAAAGTGTCAAGCACGTAGTTGTTCGATCTTCTAATTTAAGAGATTACATCAACCGGCCTCCACGCTGATGCATCGTCTTGGCGATGACGAGGCAGAGGTGACCCGACTGCCTCACGACGTTGATGCTGAAATGCTGGCTTCTCTGACTGTAGGTCGGACGAAGCGATGGACCAAGCTCGCGACAGTCGGCAGAAGACAGTCGGATCACGGCCTCGGAACAGGGTATATCCAGCGATCCAGTCTAGCAAATCAACCGAGCACTTTGCAAACCCCGCCACAGAGAGAAGGTAGACTTTTGCATCCGACCTACTGCGTACGGAGGAAGGCGAGCCTAGGAATACCTACCCTGCATGCAGGCCGATGCCCAAGTGTGACACACTCAGCATGCTCTGCCAAGTCATGCTTCAAATTCAGCGATGCATGCCCGGAAAGCTGCAGATGGTTGTCTGACACAATTTAGGTTATCCCAAGCCCGCTCACATGGCTAACCTTCTGCAGAGCTTGGCCAGGTCAAGCTGCACTGGTGAGAATAAGACAAGAAAAGGCTTGAACGGTGAGCTGCGCGTCTTACGCAGCAGAACCGGGAAAAGCACTTGTCGCAAACGCTTCATTACCACATCAAACGATGGCAGGCCTCCGTCCTGGGAGGAGCCGCAAATTTACTCCTCGCTCACAGAGGGTAGTTCAGATGGCGGCGCCATGGAGGGCCTGCACAGCGTCATTTTGCAGCACAGCCCTTTGCAACCCTCTGCGCCGGCGACGCACCAGCGTCGTGCAACTGCCCTGGTTGACCAATGCAGGCAAGTTACAGTACGGCTGCTTGTGAAAAGGGCGCAAACAAGCTGAACCACTCGTTGCGCTGATCCTGATAAAGGGTTGCGATAGCTCGGCAAGCATATCTGGTACAGCAGCCAAGTCCTCGGAGCTGGCTGCCAGTTGCAGCACCCAGCGACCGCCATCTTGTTCCTCCAAGACCACAAAGAGGAACAAGGAATCTCGCATGCTGCATGTCGCTGCACATCGCTGCGCTCCGCACGCTCCTTGTCGGCTCTGTGGGCCAAGGGTCCGGGCTTCACCGCCACCTGGAAGGCGAAGGGTCGAGCTGCCTCCGCCTCATCCAGCTCCCTGAGTCGGAACCAAAGCGCAAAATCTCTGCGTGGTGACTGGTGGACTGGCCTGTGCGTGGCCCCTTTCTCGAGGGGATACTCCTCCACCATTCTCAGGCAGATTTCGCCGGAAATTTCAACGGTGTCAGAAATCTCTCTGTTGTCGCTGCACACACTCTTGTAAGTACTTGGTGCAGGCATCCTGAGGTGCGGGATCTTCGGGCGGTGAGATCACGACACCTTGAGCATCAAAATCGAGTGTCACCATCCCGTGATCTTCTCAGAAGTTTCATGCAGATTGGAGCTGCGCAGCCTCTGGTGAGAAAGCCAAGGCACCACCAGCGTCATCACGCACGACATCCGCGGCGGAGTTGCTGACGCACAAGATGCCTGAACAGCAGCTGTCAGCGTGCGGCGTCAGGTCGATGTGGAGTGGTGTGTGCAATATTACGACAGCTGCCTTTCTCTGTCAACCAGCAGCTCCGCAGCCGCCACTGCTCTAGAGACCTGTTTGGCATACAGGCTTGGGTGATGACTTTGCGGGCTATCAGGATTATCAGTCGCACCGAGCTCGATGCATTGGGTCACCTCCAGGCAGCAAAGCCCACAAGACCCCGCTGCTGATAAGCTTCTGGTCCTTGAGGTGCCGGACTTGAGTGATTCAACTTGTGCACGTTTCTGCTGTCTTTGTTTGCTCCTGCGGAGGTCGAACAGGGCGACGAGATGCCAGGTGGTATGTCCTTGGGATGGTAGCCAAAAACAAGCCGCACGAATGTCTCGGAGCTAGGAGAGTTCCGGACATGTATTCGTACGGATCTTCTGGCAGGGCGGCAAAGAGCTCTGTCAGCATCTCCTGGCGCGAGACGGAAGCTTAGATTTGGCTCAGTGATGTGGCAGAAAGTCCTGCACGAATGGCTGGATCTGGTGCTGCTGCATATAGCCTTAGATGTTTCATACGTGACTACGCAAAGAAATCCAGCAGGAGTGCTTGATCATGCCGCAGCCGACGCACATGTTGACTTAGGAGGGCTCAGCATGCCAAGCAGCCATCCAAAGCGGGGCCATCCGTGGCTTCATTTGTCTGCGACGTCTCTGCCATCGCACCGGCTAGCTTAAGTACTTTCCCTGGTTGTACTTGATTCTGGTGTTCGGGATGCTGAGATCGAGCTCGGGTGTTTGATTGGCCCGGCGACACACTGATCGCAATAACACTCAATAAGGCCATTGGGGCCACGATTGCTCAACACTGAACACCTACGCCTTTACAAGCTCCGTACTTGCAGAGAATGTTCATCGAAGTAATTATCATGGCTAGGGCCAACTTCCTTGAGAACTTGCAGGGTGTCAGCCCCGTGGTGGGTCGCACAAACCCTCCAACATCTAACACAATCAACTGCTAACTTTCCGAGTCCACAACCTCCACTGGCTCCGAACTGCTGCATGACGCAGCATGAGTGCTGCACCTGGGCTTCTGAGCTCCATGGACTGCGCTGTGTGTGTGTTCTCGAAACGGATGAGCAGCCGACTCCTCGGATGCTTTGGCGCCCATGGGCCTATGTACCTTGGCTGCGTCCCTTCACAGTGAGTCAAAGAGGAAGTCGCGGGCGAAAACAGCAGCCATGGCGCATGAAGTTGCCGAGCTGGCAACTCAGGTCTGCTGGACAGCGGTGGTCGCACGTATCCCTTAGTCTGCTTGCTATGTTGGCAGATCTGCTCAGCCTGCAACTTGGCGAGATGCAGAGGCAGCAGTCGGCCGACAGCCGGGGCAGCTGGGTGGCTTCGTAGTCGCCCGCTTTTGCTGCGTGTGTCCTCAGCTGGGAGATCTTCGGAGTGTACAGAATGGGGCAGTTGAGAGAAGTACTGAAGGATGCAAAAAGACGCTGCAAGCCGCTACAAGTCAAGGACAGGTGTCGTTGCTCTGGAGATGCTTGATTCGCCGGTGCGCTTCTTGCCAGCCTTCTCATTTTCTCCGGCAGTGACGCAGATCTCGGCGTCCTTTTAAAGTGACGACGGTCCCCGTGAGATGGTGCAGCCCCTGCCCCGACCCAGGCTGACCCAGGCCTCGCGGTTTTCGCGATGGGCCTCTCCAAAGATGCCGGCCGCGCGCGCGCTGTGAGTCGGATTCCTGCCTATCATAGGACATCTACTCCACTCAGTGCACATGCAGCCTGCAGCAGAGAGCTGTCCTGGCGGCTTGTCTGCTGTTCGCCATTGCTGCCCTTGTCCTTGCTGGTGCCACACCAGACTACTTTTGCACAAACCACAGTCGCATCTACTCTTCGGCCGTGACAATCTGCAGTGCTGAGCTGGGAGCTTTTGCTAGTGAGGAGGCCAAGTTCCTGCAGACATTGGTTTTGCCCTACTGTATCTTTCACAACCAGATGTTGTCATTTGGTTTCGGTTGTTTTCCCACATTAGGTTCCCTTTTGAGGTGTGCTTATGCTTATAGGGACGCTGTGGAAACACCGGATATCTGCGATGGTATTGTTCAGGGTTTATGACGGGGTCTCCGATTCTCTGAAACCGTCATATTATCGATTCGTTTTCTTTGGAAGCTGGTGGAGATTTTCTGGCGGATTGACCGGCATGCCTGAGTTTGACAGCCTGATATTCACCGATTAAAAGCAGCTCACAGAGTTTGGGCCCAAGCCTCCAGCCCAACAGCCATTAAACCTCAACAATCCAAACCAACATACAGCAAAGCTCCGGCCTCTGTTAGCCCCCAAGACCCTAAACTCCTTGGACTTCGTCAGCCATGCAAGGAACACCGCGCAACAACCAAAGCACCAAGATCAAAGCTTGTAGGGCTTGTCGTGTTGGCGGTTCGGAGCCCCAGTAGCTCAGTGAGCCTCGTGCTCGAATGTGGCGAGGAGGAATCGCATGCAGTGCACCTTCCATGAAGAGAGATGTAAACGGTGGGTGCATGCAGGGCGTCGTTCGAGTGCTAACACGTGCTTATTGGCACTAACTTTGTGTCGTGCAGTTTCTGCTTTGGGGCCAAAGCTCTAAGGCTTTATGTTGTCGGCGAATAGAGATTCCCTCATCGGTACAAACGCGGCATGGTTGATCGGCCAAACTTTTTGGAACTGCATCCCTCTTATGGTTGCCACCTCACATAGATGGGAGAAGCGCCTACGCAGCCTGGCTGCTGAAGGGCCGATTGGGCCACATGGGAGTGCCGCGGCTGCAGTGTCCTCAGCTCAAACATGCCCGACACTCTCCATACATCCGTCTGGCCCCCCCCTGCCCTGCCAGTTGCCGTTCACGCCCAGCGTCAGCTTTCTTGCCCACCTCATTTCCTGGCTTGGTGCTTTGCCAGTCTGCCAGCCGCTGCAGAAGATCGACTTTCCTTTGCGCCCCGAACACACAAATAGCACACTCGCTCTCTCGCGATGGATAGAATCTAAGCGCGGGAACACTAAATTTATCCGGTCTACGCTGGTGCGCGCCAGCGTGCAAAGGGAATTCTCCAGTCAGCGCCCAGGGAAAACTATGCATATGAGTCCAATGCCTACTTTCTCAAAACTCCCCAAACCTTGACAAGTTTCAACAGACATCTCATGGCATGGTTGCATTCAACTGGTTGAATTTACCAACTCATGTCTTCTGCAAGGCACTTGCATGTGCAAGACAATCTGCAATGATAGCCTCCATACGCACATGTATAAACGTTAATCAGTGTTGGTGTGCAGAATACTTTTTCTGACTGATGCACAGCTCATCATAGCTCGTTTCCAGCTTCATCCATGAGCACTGCTGCTACCACCTTCCTTCGACCGCAAGCTAAGCAAAAACAGCCTTTTCCCGAAATGGAATGGTAGGGGTTAGGGTGTGCAGAACTGATGACTTCCGCCGGGGCATAATGAACGTCTTGCAAGCCTCTTCAACAACTTTACGGTTCTTTCTACGCCCTGGTAGTGTCATGCATCTGCTTTCGAGTTTGGGATTCTTTCAAAATTTGCTGCAGGGCTAGCAGGCGATGTGGCACAGGAACAGATGATTGCCCAGCAGCAGCTTCGCAGAAATTCATCGTCAGGCGTTTACCCGCAATCCGTGGTTTTCGGTCAGACGAAGAAGGACTGCAATGCCCGCTTGAGACTTGGTGAAGGTTTCTGTTCTCGTTGCTTGCAGCTTGCAGTATCGCAACTACTTGCGACCACTTTTCTGTATCACCCGAACCTAGGCGCCCATGAATTGCTGGCCCCACGACATAATCGTCAAACAGTCGCCTTTGTGGGTGCATTGGCGCAGGCCATTCGCAGGATTCAGATCACTCATCCACAGATAGCCAAGCGACGGGCTAGCCCTCTCATAGTAAACCTGGGGCTGGCTGTGCGCACCACTGGGTTTGTTATGGTTTGTTACTGCTTCCAAAGCACCTCATCAGCCTGAATGCCGTCCACGACGGGGCATCGCGCATCTTCCACAGCAGACGTCACACCTGCGCAGTTTGCTTCCTGCGCACCACTCGTTCAATGATAGCTGTGGACAGTCCGGGAGCCGCACAGAATGAAACTTCCCCGTTGGCGGCTGTGCTCCTGTCATGCCATGTCTGGGTACCAGAGGACAGCATGTTGAGAGCCCAAGTGCCACGCAGTGTGAGGTTTGCATGAGAAAGCCAGGGTCGAGGCCAGTGCTCCTGCCGAAAAACCACCATGCCAGTGTGCTTGAACGGCTAGGATGAATACAAGCTGAGCACTTCCTCCTTCGCTTGTGCAGGAAGAACGTGAGGCTCCAACTCCGGACTGTTGGCATGGCTCGGATCGCAGCCGGGGCTCGTTGGTAGGGCAACGGCCCGCTTCCTGGGAAAGAGTAGGCTTATGATCAGGACGGAAACGTTAAACTAGCATGAGACTCGATGTGTTCCTTTTTCAACTGGAGGTTCTCACAGCTGGAGTCTGCAGCACGAAAATGCAGTGTTCTGCATTGTTGCAGCACATGGCATGGAAAGCTATACGTTTTGAAAAATCTATGCTGTACTACTGGTACCTTTTCATACCCAGTGGTACTGAACACGTTCGAGGGCAGGTTGCAGGTTTAACAATCTGGCGTGTTGAAGAATCTATGCACCGCCCGGATGTAATGTTGGCAATGCCGCGCTTCTTGCAGCTTCTCATTGTCACAAAACAGAGGCACCAAACCCATGATCCAGAATTCACGGTTTGTCTACATGCCTCGCATGTCCGATGACCGAAACAGGTCTCGCAAATCATCCTGTGCCTGGCCCTACGTGCCTCATCTGTGCAAATCTCAGGCTACCTGTTTGGTTTGTCTTGTACATCGACAGCATGCCGACTGCAATGACCAAAAAAACAGGCGGCTCCCATTCTTCTCATCAGACAGTGTCAGCCTGCTATAGCACAACCCATGTTTCTCAGTGTCGACAACCCTAATTATCCGTTATTGTCTGCCACGGGCCAAACGTGGTTCGCAGTGTTCAACAAGCCTTTCCACGTTCTGGTCTCAGCATGGGACGAGGCTAAGGAGCAAGAGGGCGAGCTTACAGGGCACTGGAATTCCAACAACGGCTACGAACATTCGAGACATTGAATATTGCGATCAAACGGCAACCATAACCGGCTCGTGAGGAGTTAAAGTTTTGCCAGCTCTTCATCCAAGTGCGGGCAGGCGACATCTCTGCAAAGTTCTCAGAGATAAGTCCTTCTCCATGTTCTTCCTTCTCTAGATTTCACTTGTGCGACTGGCAGCTGAGTTTATAGCTGAGCAAAAACTCGCCTGCGCCGTTGGACTCGACATCTCTGCCTGCAGTGCGTGCGCTGCTTCACAGCAGTTGCATGCAGCTTGTTGGAAGGCAAGCCCTGTGCAGAATCGTCTGCCTCCAGGAAGCCTGCTTCCTCTTTCGTGCTTTGCGGTGGGACCGGACTTGACGGAAGCGCTGCATTCTCGAGGCTGGGTGCCACCTTGAGCCGTTCACAGCGCTAGGTCCATGGCACAATGGTCGAGCAAAAGCTGGTCTACACCCGTGGTTGTGGAAAGGCCCTGGCGGCCTGCGGATCAATCGGCATCCCGGACAGACCTGGTGCAAATATGAATCGAGTCGTCTTGTCAGCCTGCCGCCCCTGAGTTGACGAGGGCAGGACAAGACTTTGGTGTTGCGGCCTCGGCGGCTGCCAACAGATCATCCAAGCGTCCTTGACCTTCAGGTATTCCGTGCATCCGCTCTGACACCCACTCAATAAGTTGGGTTACTTTTGGGGGGTACCATGTTCATAGCCTATCACTGATGTCTATCCACAGAAGTGACCGCCTGAAGCTCGGAGGGGCTGCCAGCGCCTCCTTTGCGGTCGCTTTGCCTGCACTCTGCGAGCTCAGCGGTGTTGGCAATCGGTGGGGAGACACACGCCAAAATCGTCCCGGTCGCAGACGCCTCGCCGCCAGCGAGGCTGGCGAGGAATGCTAGGATCTCCGGTCCTTGGAAATTGGCGAAGGAATCCAGTCGCATCTGCTACGGGTACGACGGCTGCGGATCTTGCTGAAACCTCCCTGTGTCGTGGCTTCGTTTGGCTGGCACGTAATTCTTTTGCCGGAACGCAAACTGCCCAAACAACCTCCAAATCATGACGGCCACGACTAGGGCGAAAGCAGTAGCCACCTGCCACAGGATCGCACTGGCTCTCGGATGCCCGGATTGCAAGATGCTCGCAGCAGAGATGTGCCCGTGGGCCGCGGCAATTTGCGCAGGCGTTCTGCCTTCCTGGTCAAATCTTGGGCATAAAAGCATTCGAAGCAACTGCGTGTGCGCTACGGACTTAACATTTTGGTCGGGGGCTGCCTTGTCTGGTTCCACCATTGATCGAGCTCGCAGAAGTGCTTCGATCACTCCCTGGTGTCCAGCTTTCGCCGCAGTGTGCAAAGGGCCCCAAGACATCTTGTTCTTTCCACTCATGCTGAAGCCGTTCTCAGCTAACCACTGTATCACGGCAACATGGCCAAGCTTCGCTGCATGATGTGCCAGTGTCCACCCATTCGCATCTTGAGAGTGCAAATTTGCGCCTCTTTCCCGAAATGCTGCAAGCAGTGCAGTGTGACCGGCTCGGGATGCATGTCCAGCGACGCTAATCCCGCTTGCGTCCATCTCTTCCAACTGATGCGTCCGGCTGCTTGTGAAGGCTGCAAGGTCTCCTCGGCACGCGCTGAACACTAAGCCTCTGGAGGTTCCCTGACCACCGACGGTCAAGCTCCAGTTGCTTCGAACAAAAACTGCATGCCACCAACCTCGTGGTAAAAATACAAATTCCCCAGCATGTTGCAAGCAGTATCGAAAACCAGCTCTCTTCAATGCCGCTTGGTCATGAATAAGGTAGGGACGAAGCGGGAGCTTACCTGGTGGCATGGCGAGCCACTCCTTGCTTCCGGCGAGTAGCAATGCCCACGTCCGATCGTGGCTGTGTAAGGGAAAGGAGCCTGGGGAGATGCCGATCGCCAGGAAGAGCTCTCGCGCAGTCTCGCTCAGGAACTTTGGGATGCCAACCGTGCTTGCTACGTCTTCATCACAGCTTGGACTGAGATGACATTGTCTGAAAGCATATGGGATCGACTTGTTGCTGTCCAGGCGTTGCACGAAATCTCTTGCTCGTATCTCCTCACCTTGAGTGAACCCATGTTGTGCTTGATTCTCGATGCCATCGGTGATGTACAGCGTTACATTGCCAACGCCGTCAATGATGTTTGATACAGGCATTGCACTTCCAGTGCTCCGAATCAGCAGTGGCTGTGTCACTTCCTGCTCGAATCCCGGGTTCAGGCTGGAGGACTCAACCTCTTCGAACTCACATCTGGAACTCGATCCCATGGAGAGCAAAATGAGACGCAGAAATATTTACACATCGTTTACCGGCTTCCCGTGCATCTCAGCTTGCACGTCGTGCCTCCTACCTTTTGCTGGAGCCAACATGCCGTTCTGGACGCTACTGGGTGCAGTGCAGCCGACTCATGGCGACTCGGGAGGAAAACCAGCGTTGTCCCCTTCGTTTCAACCAAGTCACGCTCTGGATCGTCTGTAAGCCAGCCTTCCCTGTGAGGAGCTCCGTGGATTTTTGACGCTCTTCTCGATCTACCGTCTTTAGTGGGCCCATGCCTGTAGCCACAGTCGCCAGGGCCGGGGCAGTTCGCTACCTGGCAGCGTCTCAGCGACAACAAAAGCCCCCCAACCAAAACCCAAAAGGATCGGAGGCCTCAGGCTCAGGAACATGCTCTGTCATCGTGGCCACTTCCACCTTTGCATGTACGGTCTGGGCTTCTGAATTCCCAGGGGGGAACTGGCATGTGCATCCGCCCCTGCCTTGCTGCCTTCAACCCGGCAAGCTTCACGTGACAAAGGTGCCGCTTGCTCCTCCGGCCTCAGCTCGTGATGCGACTCGAACATAGCCTCTTCTTGAGCAGTCGTTCAGGCGGAGACTGTAGCGAGCCTGAGCCGCCTGAGCCTGACAGGAATCCTCAGCTGCAGTGATCTTCCGGTCACATGCGGAGGCAAAGCTGATGCTGAAGGCTATGTACCGGGCCAAGATCCAGCTGAACTTCGTCGGTGTCGCTTGCGCCAGCCTGGGAGTCCCGTGACGCAAGCACGTCCACGTGACAAGCTCACCTACGACTGCGCTGCGATTCGAGAAGAGCAAGGCTGCTGGCAACACCACCCTGTCTCTGCAGTCTCCGCAGCAAGCGCCGATGCCTGAGGCTTAGCTTTCTGATAGCTCATGAAGAGTCTCCACCGCCAGCCAGCTCTATTGGAAAAAATGTTAAATATGACGAGACTGGCAGGAGACAAAAAGCCACTTGTGCTAGCTACGAGCCATTGTTGTCACACTGTTACGATAATTCGTGCATAATTCGTGCTGCTGGTATCTTGCTCATGGCGATGCTGATGATGACCACTGTTTGCCATAATTGGATCCCTTCCTTGCTAGCTTTGCTACTGCTGTTGCTGCTCCATTTCCACGTCTAGAAATCTTTTAGAAAGTCTCGTGGTACCGATTATATACTTCACTTCTACAACTACCACCACTATCAATCACTAGGAGTGCGTCCACAGACGACGATGACGACGACGTCTACCACTACCTCTACCCTTCCCGTGCACCTATCCCTACCAACCTACCACTTCCAATGCTACTGCTACATTACTCCTACTCCTCCTGCTCCTACTCCTACTACGCCTACCGCTGTTATTGCCACTGCTGCTAATACCCCTGTTCCACCATTCCTACCTTTCTGCCATTGCAACTACTGTTACAACAACAACTACTACTACAACTACTACTACTACTACTGCTACTACTACTACTACTACTACTACTACTACTCCTACTACTACCACCACCACCACCACCACCACACCACGACGACGACGAC